TCCAGATAAGGAATATTCAACCTATATATTATTTTGGTTTATCCCTGTTCTATTGCAAACTGTTTGCTCTTAAATGGGCAATTCAGACCCATTAGCTCTACAGAAATTATACTGCTCTAATCTTGTAAACCACTCTGAGTTCCACTTTGGGGGAAAGGGTGGGATATAAATATACTACCACTGCTGCTGGTACTACTACTACTACTACTACTAATAATAATAATAATAATAATAATAATAATACCTACACCTGGTAGAGATGAAAATTTTTAGTATTGGTTTGGTGACAGCTTCCTGCAGTTTTGGACTTTCCTTGCCATATATGACTGTGGATACTTGCCTGAACATGCATACCTCCACCACAATGGTGGTGGAGCATTCTAGGCAGTATAGTCCAAGTAATGGAGCACAGAGTCAAAGAGATCTGTTGCACATTGGCAGATGGACCTTCCTCTTTATCTATGAGGAGGAGGTCTGAGTATCCAGCAGCCTCTCTCCTGGCCTCCAAGATAACAGATTTGATGCACATGTGTTGTTCATATACATGCAGAACCTAGGAGTTCCTTGTGATATAAATTTCTTTCCTTTTTCTTTTTCACAGCATCCAGCATGCTTTCATCTAAAAGTTCCATTCTTCACACCATCATTGAACTATTATTCACCTGGAGACCATGTTTGTTTAGCTTAAATTGAGCATGCCACATTAAGAGTAGAAAGATAAGAATCTCAATGTAGGCCTCCCAGTACTATATACTTGGCTTTCAAATTCTGTAGTTTTTGCAATAAATGTGTATCAAGTAAATAAAACAAAAAAAACCTCATTTAAAACAAAACAAAATGAAAGGGTATTCTGATAGTCAGGTATTTGAGCAATAGAAGACTGTATTTCATTGGAACTGGAAAAAATAAACAAAGTCATCTGCTAAACCACTAGTTTGTATCAATGATTTATCAATGTGTGTATGCTGTACAAAACATATACATGTGTCGAAAGGTATTGCTCAGAACATCTGTACTTATTTATAGGATTCAGGCAAAACAAGATATGAAAAGTATGAAATCTGATAAATTCCTAAGGAAGCCAGTGCTATTATATGATCTTAAACTTAAACATAGTCATTTGCAAGTTATAGTTAGATATCGTAGTTACAAAACTAACATATTAAATGAATGCATTTTTAGCTTGCACCTTTGTTTATCAAATGTATACAATGGCTTCCTAGCATTTGTATGTTTTCCTCCTGTTGTAAAAGGTTACAGTGCCTCTGCCAAGGCTTTAATCCTAGTGGTAAGAGCCTATTTTGCCTTTGACCATGCCCAGTAGTGAAATGTGCTTCCCTTCAAAAAACCTTGTTGGAACTGAATTTTGCCCTTTGGCTAAAAGAGTTTCCCACCCTTGTTTTCAGAAGAGTGAACCAAAAGCTCACTGTGAACAGTTTCAGTCTGGAATATGGGTTTACTAGGAGTGGGAGAACATACAATGTTGTTGTTGTTGCTGTTGCTGCTGCTGCTGCTGCTGTGTGCCTTCGAGTCATTTCTTACTTATGGTGACCCTGCAGCAAATCTATCACAAAGTTTTCTGGGGCAGAGAGTATGTGACTCACCCAAGGTCACCTAGCGAGTTTCAGTGACTGAACGGGGAATGAAGAAGCCTTGATCTCCAGAACTCTAGTCCAGTACTCAAACCACTACACAATGCTGGGTCTATACATAAAATGTTGCTCCAGCACATTTCCCCATTTACTGCTTGTGCCTGGTTCATAGCCCTGGGGAAGAGGATACTTTGGGGATCCTGCTTGGGCATTCCACATTGTGTCAGGCTTTTCAGCAGCAGTAGCATCACTACCCTCAGAACAAACAGTGTCAAAAGAACTGCAGTTAGGCAGAGATGCTACCTCTCACTAAAATCTGAAAAGGCAATTCCTTGTGCAAGTGAGATCCAATCAGGGACATGGAGAGAGCTGGCATTGAGGTGGGACTGCCTCCTTTCCACTCTGTGCCAAGCTACAGAAGCAGTCACTTATGGCATCCAGGGGCATTCTGTGCCACAAACCCATGGGAAATACCAAATCAGCTGCCAGAAGTTCATGCCAAACATTCAGAGTGGCTAAATGATGCCCACAGCTCAACATCTGGGGCCTAACAGTTCATGTGGGGTTGTTGTTAAATATAGGTGTGTGTGTGTGTGTGTGTGTGTGTGTGTGTGTGTGTGTGTGTGTCAGAAGGTCCCTTTCTAGCTGTCTTTTCTATCTGTTCACGTTTGGACCAATCTTTGGATATTAAAACAAATGATTTCATTATATTTCTAATTTCTCTTTTTTTATTTTACACAACTGTGATATGTAAGGAAAAGTTACTTTTTTTTAAGCTGAAATGACAGCCTCTAGAAATGTGACTAATTTGAATCAAATTATTTAATGAATATATAGAATTCAAAGATATAGCTGTGTTAGTCTGTAGAATCAGTATGTAGAGAGGAGATCTTGTAGCACCTTTGAGACTAACTGAAAGAAAGAAGTTGGCAGCATGAGCTTTCATAGACTGAAGTCTACTTCCTCAGATGCATATGGTGGAGTGGAAGCCAGGGACAGACATATATATGTACCATTGGTATGTGAGAATACCAATTCAAATTCAAAATCCTTTGTGTATGGAAATGAACTTTATTTCACACATACTCTGTCCAAGCACATATATGCAGTCCAGTTTCTAACAAGTTACATCTCATATCTGGACTGGCCTTAAACATGAGAATACCTTCCTGCTATTTACCTTCAGGATGGTATGACTCTACTGGTAAATGTCCCACAGTTAAGGTCTTAGTACTTTTGTCCTCTTTCCATTGATGGATATCTTACACAATTGTCTCACTGTAAAGGAGCTTAACTAGTTCATATATGTTCTACATTTAACAATGCTTGGATTCATCATCTTTCAGTAGTGGCTTACATTCATCAATTTCTAAATGCAGGAAGACAACTATTTCTGTACATAACAGGCTTCAAATCCAATGGAGCATTTTTGGCAATACAAAGGAGGGAGTGATTTTTGTCAATTCCCTTCTTTCTTCTTCCTTCAACTTGACTCTACAGGACTGGGGCACTCTCGTGACCAGTGGAGGGTGTCATATAGGGGACTGCAGGGAAAGGTTGAGTCAGCAAGGATTGCCTTTCTTCCAGTAGAAGTGTTTAGACTCAGTGCATGTCTACACAATTTAATTGGTTTCCCCTGCCCTTGCCATTACCTGTTGTAGGACCAAAGCCCTGATTTGACTGTGGACTGTCTTCACAACATGAGGCCAGTTCTTCAACAAATCTGGGCCATCCCTGCCTTCAACTACATTAAAAAGATTTACTTTTTGCTCCAGATTTTCCAGGAAGATACAGAGCACTATGGAGTAAAGCAAGCAAAGCAAAGCAGCTTCATTTATATACCGCTTTATATTGCACTATGGGATGTCTAAGCAGTTTACAACTGTAAGCTCATTGCCCCCCAACAGTTGGGTACTCATTTTAGCGACCTCAAAAGGATGCAGGCCTGAGTCAAGCCTGAGCCCTGGCTAGTATTGAACCCGTAATCTTGTGGTCAATGAGTGAGTGGCTGCAGGACAGGCATTTAACCACTGTGCTACCAGGGCCCCTCCAGAGTGATGCCAGGCTACTGTTTACAGAGTTTCCCTGTGTTCTGCATGGCACCACTATCACCACTGATGTGGATCACTCCTTCTGAAATCACAATGAGGCTCCCAGCCATGTGACTGATGCTGGGCACCTCATTTTTGAGCTCAGAGAGAGTGACTCATGCCAGCAGTGGTGGTGCAGGGTGGCCCAGCAGGACATATATAGAGACAACTGCCTGGTGTTGCTCGGAATGAGGAAATAACAAAGGAGGGGGAATTCAGGGCAGTTTTGGGCCAGAATACTCCAGGAGCAGCCCAGAGTATTCTGGCTGATGTAGTTCTGCCCTAGCACTCAACAAAGGGGATGCCTCTACTACTCTGAACTTAACTCTGTATATATTCACAATATATTCATTTTATTAAAAAAACAAACTACAGCTGGTGAAAACTGTTAGGGAACTCCTTCAATAAATACATAATTTTTGGATTTAGGGGATGGGTGGTGGTGATGGGGATTATGAGAGTTTTGATCACCTGCACTTCCAAACTTTCCCCTAAACAACTGACCTGGTTCTTGACAGTGGCAAAGAGTACTTTGAAAGGAAATTGCCATACCAGAGGCTGTAGGCAGTATTCTGAAGAAGACAATGGTAAACATTATTGGAATAAAACTTGCCAAGAAAATCCCACAATAGAGTCACCATAAATCAGTCAGTTTGTAGGCACATAACAGCAAGAACCATATAATCTCCAAGGTTTAGTTTTGACCTGAGCTGAGAAGGAATGCACAGAGGAAGCAGAAGGAAAAGTTTTCATCTTCTTTCCAGAAGGACAGCAAACATCAATTAAAGCACCATGCAGTGATGGACAGGCTGAGCTCCTATATTAGTAAGGAAAGAAGACTTGACTCCTTTTTTGTTGTTGTGTACCTTCAAATTCTTTCTGACTTATGTTGAGCCTAGGGCAAATGGGTTCTAGAACAGATCAAGCCTGAACTCTCCCTGGAAGCTAGGTTGACCAAATTCAGACAGTCATACTTTGCCCATATTATGTGAAGGCATGACTCATTGGAAAAGACAATGATGCTGGGAAAGGCAGAGGGCTGTAGAAAGAGAGAAAGGCCACATGCCAGATGGGTTGACTCAATGAAGAAGGTCATGGACCTGAACCTGCAGGAGTTGAGCAGAGCAGTTGAGGCCAGGGGATCTTAAAGATGTCTCATCCACAGGGTTGGCATGTATCAACCAGGGAAGTTAACAACAACAGCAGGGTGAGCCTATCATGGGGTTTTCTTGGCAAGATTTTTTCAGGGGAGTTGCCTTTGCCTTCCTCTAATGCAGAGAGAGTGTGAATTGACCAAGGTCACCCACTGGGTTTCCATGGCCAAGCAGGGACTTGAACCTTGGTCTCCAGAACTGAAGTCTAATGCCTAAACCATTACACCATGCTGGCTGTCTACCATATCTTTTATGCCAGGGGTAGGCAACCTATTTGAGCTGGGGGCCGGGTTGCTGTCCCTC